TCCTTTTATTCTCATCACCTTGTCTCAGAGCAGGGGACTCGATGGGGAAATACTCATCACCGGATGAAGGCCTCATTGTAACATCCTAAGATAAACCTGCAAAGGGAAATGAAACAAATAAGAACTCGGCAATATAAAAGAGACCCAAGTGTTACTCACTCAGGAAAAGGAATCTCACCATGAGAACGGGCCTCCCACTGGCCCTTCGAAAGCTCACGCCATGCGCGCTCGGAATATGGCTTTTGTGACACAATGCCCTTGACCCACTTGAGTCGAGGGACTGCTTTCGACACCCGAGCAACAACTGCACCACCACCAAGCATCGATAAGAAAGAAGGAAAAGAGAGTAAAATAAAATTTTGGAAAAACAAATTTTTACTTACGTTTTGTGTTCTAGTTCTCGGGGAACGATATGTAATCGGCTGGGATCAGTTCCAAAGTCCTCATTCAGACAAAACGACCTAGCCATCCTCGATCCCGATATTTATCAATACTTGAGAACGGAGCCTTACTAGCTCGATGCGAGAGCTTGATTAGTCCCTCCCCCCTCCAAAATAAAGCCGAGGACTATATAGGCGCACAAGGTGGTCAACGGTGATCGAGCATCCATCGATCTTGCTCACGAAGAACTGGAGAAGGATGACGATCCCCCAGAACGAAGGATGTATATGCCCAAGCATACCTCATACCTTTTGTAGAAGCCGATAATGACCGGTTCCAACGGGCCCAACGTAAAGGGATAAGTGTAAACACTTAAGTATCCCTCGACGTGGGTGGTGATGTCTTTATTGGGCTCGAGAAACATCACATCCTTGCCAACCCTGTGATCAAGCAGATGTACCTCGAGACCTTCTCACACCGGCCCGGTATGGATGAAGGTTTTTCAACCTTAAAATCGGCGATTACCGAAAACCTTCCCGGGATAAACGTGCTCAGAAGAGGTTCTGCCGCTGCTTCCTCAACAGCGGTACGAGGAACGGTCTTCTCGACGGCCAGCCGTGATGTAGAAGTAGTTTCTTTTTGGGGAACGATTTTTGAAGTCTTCTCCATTTCTTTTAAAAATGGAGGAAAAAAGAAGAAGAGGAAGTTATAACAATACGCTTGATGATTTGGGGTGAAAACAAACAAAAGTTCTCACAAAGGATCTCAAGAAATCAGAACATAAAGTACCAGAAAGTAGAGAAATTTCTAAGTAAGGATAGAAGGTTTGGATGTAAAGTTTGAATGAAGGAAGAAGGGGGTACTTAGAGTTTTCAAATGACAGTTCGCATCCAGGAAGCGGTCGACCGGCAACTAACAGGCATTTAATGCCATTAAGACTAGACTGACGCGGTGTTTCGTTTATTTTGTCATTTCTGTCGCATGATATCGAGGTGAGAATCGGGAGCTCATGTCGTTTCTCGTCGTCTACTTTACGACATGGTAGATCAAACTCAGAACATGAAGAACTGAAGATTGACCCCCGGTCCCACCGGGCCAGAACCCGGGATCAGAATATCCGTCCTGGAGAACATTGAGTCCGTGATCCCGGAATTGACCCTGACCTCGAACGAGCTCGAGGTAACATTGTCAGTATAACCCACAGAAGACCGAAATAATAGAAGGCCGAAATATCTGTGACCAATTGATATTGCGGCGGGAATCTCGGCACGTATCAATGAGGAAACAGCAAATTAAGAGATTTTTACCTTTTATTGAATTGTACCTAAGGTAGGACTCCCCTGCTATATAAAGGGGGCCTGATCACTTGTAAAGCACATTATAACACGTATTCCAAAACAATATATTATTTTTCTCTTTATGCTCTTATTTCATCTGTGTCCTGATACCGATCGAAGTTCGTCTAGTTCAAGGGTGGCTAACCTCCCAAGGCTATAACTGTTCAATTCATGTGGTTTGAATTTATTTTATCACTATTCATTTTAATTGCACTTTAATTCATCGTTTTATGTCAAGTTAATCCACATATCCTTAAAACCATTTACAAATTTAATTGTTGTCCGGTTTTGAGGGTAAAGAGCTATCCGGAAAAAATATAATTTATCATAAAATCGATAGCTTTGTCTTTAGGACATTATTATTAGGTAAGATTAACTCTTCTTTATTTAAATCTAATTGGTTGAACCAAAATTTATATTTCTGGTCAAACAATACGGAATGCATATCATTATAAAATATTTAAATTATATATATACTAATTATGATTATTTTCCATACCAATATAATTTCTTATCGTATAGATTTGTCTATACATAATTACTTTAAATATGATTTGATTATGTAAATGTTTTCTTATATCACTTATACATAGAACTTAAGCGCGATATAATATTGAGGTCAAGATACATGAAATAAAATTCCTAACCATGAGCCCCCTCCCCTCTTCTAATTTGGTTTTTAAAGGGAGATGGGTGAAGGGATAAATCTTTATCCGCACTCAATATTAGGGATAAATATTTACCCGCACTCATTATTTACATTAAAACATGTTATACATCTATTGTTTGGATGTAAGTCCTTAGAGCAATGGTAAAGTTGTCTTCCTGTGAGTAATGGGTTTGAGCCGTAAAATCAGCCAACTTATACTTGTATTAGGGTAGGTTGCCTATATCCAAGGGCGAAGCTGCATTCTCATACGGGTGGCCGGTCAATTGATCACCCTTCGTCAAAAAATTACACTGTGCATAAAGGTAAAATATTAGGCTTTAAAGTTATATAACATATATTGAACACCCTTTGTCAGAAATTTTTTTGTCACTTCTTTTAAGTTTGAATACCTTTGGAGAAATTCCTAGCTTCGCCACTGCCTATCACACCCCTTGTAGAGGCGGATCCAAGATTTAAATTTTACAGATTCAAATTTATAATTTTACCATATTTTATTTAATTTAACAGGTTTAAAACTTATTATTTGTACATGTTTAATAACTTTTTAGGCAAAAATATAAGGTATGAGCGAAAGTTATGAGTTCAGAAGAACTCGTAGCGTCAACAATAGATACGCCCCTGACCTCTTGGATTACAATTCTTCCCTAAACTCTGTGTGAAAGTAAAATATTTCATATACTGGGTTGTCATTTTTTTAATTTGATGTAAATATCGGATGTAAATAAATTTTAAAACTATGATTTAAAGAAGTATTGGAATTTAAATATAACTACGAGGAACGCGTATAGTGGAGCGCACGTGCCACCAATATGGTCGGAGCCAAAGAAACACTCGGACTCACTACACTCTTTCTTTACTCGTTTCGTTATACTATTCTTTGATGTAATTGGTTGGTGGTCAACATGTCGAGTTTTTGGTGGTCAATATAAATCTTTCCTTTTTCTTTTTTTTTTCCCGAGCTTTCTTCTATTTTAATTTTCCCTTTTAAGTAAACTGATGTATTTTGTTTTTTTTTGTCCAATTTAATAAGAATATTCTTCCGTCTCACTTTGTTGTGGTATTTATATTTCCTTATACTAGTTTTTTTCTAAAAATATATAAATTTTTATATTCACACAGATGCTACAACAAATTCAAAAACAAGTTTAAAACTTTTTATAAGCCACACAAATATTATAAAATATTTAAGATCACAAGTTTCAAAATATTTTTTTTAATTAAACTTTGTGCTAAGTAAAATTACCATAAATAAAGTGAAACAAAGGGAGCAATACTTTATCATATTTAGAAACTTTTTAACTACATACTTCTTATTTGACTTTTAATGATAATAGTTGTTAGTGCACAAAATATCCTGCATTCATATGGGGTCTAAGAAAGGGTCGCATCTCAAGGAGTGTAATGCAGGCAACAACCTACTTTTATGCAAGTATTAATGACTGATTTTACGGTTCGAACCCGTAACTTATAAATATCATGATATGTTTCAAATCATAAGATCTAAATAAGGGTTTTTAAGGTATTTGTTAAGTCCTTTCTTTTTAAAAAATTCGTACCTAGTAGCCTTAACCACATAAAATGAATCACCAAAGGATGTGCAGTGGATGAGACTGCTCCTCTCTTAACCATAGGTCTCGGGTTCGAGCCCTGGGTATGAAAAAATTCTTGGTAAGGAGCTTTTCCCCCGAATGGGGTCCTACGCGGCACGAATCCAAATATAGTCGGGCTTCAATGCGAGTATCAGACACCGGGTGGAAAACCAAAAAAACACATAAAATGAAAGTATGTGTGACAGACTCTATATGAGTATTTGGATTGGCTTTTAAACTGGTTAAATCAGCTTTTAAGTTCTTTTTAATTTTTTTCAGTATTTGATAAAACTAAAAAAAAATACTTAAAATAAGTTAAAACTACTTAAAACAAGCAAAAAAATAATAAGTTCGGCAACCCCAACTTATTATTTTTTGGCTAAAAAACTATTTATGCTGAAAAGCTACTTTTTCTAAGTCAATCCAAACAAGCGTTATATGTATGCTTTCTAATACCAAAATCTTGAAAATAAGTCCTCAACCAACGTTTTTTAGTTGCTAACTTAGTTTGTCCCCACTTAAACTAGTCTAATACCTATCCCATGAAAATCAATGCACCGTCCGCCTCCAATTCTCCTCTTATAGTCTTCTCCTTCATTACATTCTCCCCGCTGACCTGACCCACCACCCATTATTATACTCTTTTAGCATGAGTTTAGTTTGGCATACATTGTACATGTTACTATTCCATTTCTATAACTATAAATACTATCATTTGAGTGCAGCCAAAATGTAACTACGTGAAGTTCAAGAACCTCATCATCCACATTCCAAGAATCTTTAAAACTACCTACAAACATGAGGCTCTTAGCTGGAAATTTCAAATCAAATTGCAACATAATACACTCCTCAAATTATAACTTGCTTTTTACTAAAAAGCATTTGGGATTTGCACTTCCTACTTCAAGGTGCTCTACACTAAGAAAATCGAGTGCTCGTGGATTCAGGATCACGAGCTCGTGGAACCCGGGGTCGGGTCACTGCTCTGTCGCAGACAGAGCAGCTGAACTCCGACACCGGTGGATGGAATTCCAAGGTATCAAGAATTGGGAAGGTTTGCTTGATCCACTCGATGATGATCTCCGTAAGGAGATCTTAAGGTATGGGGAATTTGTCGAAGCAGCCTATCGCTGCTTCGACTTTGACGTGTCATCACCTACGTACGCCACTTGTCGTTATCCTACGAATTCAATGCTGACAGACTGCGGACTAGACAAGAGCGGATATAAGGTAATCAAGAACCTTTATGCCACGTGTGCAGTTCAAATGCCAAGTTGGACTAAAAGGTTCCCGAATTTAGCGTCCCCATGCTCCAGCTGGATTGGTTACGTGGCAGTTTGCGAAGACGAGGAAGAGATCGCCAGACTTGGGCGTCGTGACGTGGTGATCGCTTATCGAGGTACCGCCACGTCATGCGAATGGCTCGAAAATTTACGTGCCACGTTAACTTCTTTACCGGATGACATGGCACCCGAAAATTACGATCAACCCATGGTACAAAGTGGATTCTTGAGTTTGTACACAACAAAAAACGAATGTGATCAAAGTTTACAAGACACAATTAGAGAAGAAATTGGCAACATTCTTGAAAAGTATAGTGACGAGCCTTTAAGTATAACTGTCACAGGCCACAGTCTTGGAGCTGCCCTTGCAACATTAACAGCGTACGATATAACTACAAAATTTAGTCACGCACCAATAGTAACAGTCGTATCATTTGGAGGGCCTAGAGTAGGAAACAAAAGTTTTAGATGTCAATTAGAGAAAAGTGGTACAAATGTTCTCCGCATTGTCAACTCCGACGATCCAATTACAAAAGTTCCGGGGTTCGTGCTCGACGAAGACGATAACGTGGCAGAAAAAGGGAGTGCCCACGTGGCGACAACGGGGCTGCCAAGCTGGCTTCAAAAATGCATGGAGGATACACAATGGGTATATGCTGAGGTGGGCAAAGAACTTAGATTAAGTAGTAAAGACTCTAAATTTGGCAAAGCAGGAGATGTTGCCACGTGTCATGATCTCAAGACGTATTTGCACTTAGTGAACAATTTTGTAAGTGAAAAGGATGTAGAAAGGCGAGATCAAGAAAGAACTGCGGCTTTAGTTTGACAAATCTTTTCTTTACTCGGTACAGAGAATAGGAATAGGAATAGGAAATAGGAATAGAAATAGAAATAGGACCACACGTGAGTTTTCTTGAAAATCCACACCAAAAATGTGTCAAGTGAAAAAATGTACAAAGATTGCACGTACTTTTCTTTTTGAGAAAAGGGTTTCCATTATATTTGAAGGAGCCCTACTCTCGTTGCCTATACTCCATAGGTTAGCAATATTTTCAATGTATATAATATATGGTGATCAAGTTGTGGAAGTTAAATAGTCTGAATCTTATTTCTTGAGTTACATGCACGCATGTTATATTACAGTAGTGCACCACAAATACAAGGCACTAAAAAGATGTGAACACAAAACGCGAAACGTGACACTTTTTTTTAGCGGCAAAGGCCCAAATATATCCATGTATTATGAGAAAATAGTTAAATATACTTTTCGTTATACTTTGGATCAAAATATATTCATGTCGTAATACTATTGGTTCAATTATACCTCTCTTATGTTAAGTTTATCCAATGTGGACATCCAATCCTATGTGGCACTGATATTTGATGAGGTGGATGCCATATGACATGCCACCTCAATGCCTCTAATCCATATATATAAAACTAAAATTTGAAATACAATATTTTTCATGGTAGCGGTAATGGTGGCAATAGTAGTGGAGGGGAAGGAAATTTTAGTGGTGGAAAAAAAATAGAAAAGGGNGCGGTAATGGTGCCAATAGTAGTGGAGAGGAAGAAAATTTTAGTGGTGAAAAAAATAGAAGGGAGGGGTAAAATGGGTTAGGGGTGCTGATAGTAGGCTATAATTATGCAATTTAAATACTATTTACACTCTAATTTAGCCGCACTTTATCAATGTTTAAATGCTAAAAGATAACAAAATGCTCTAATTAAGAGTTTGATACTTTGCAGGAGCCACTCCGAGCAATGAGGAAGCTAAAGAGTGTTTTGGGGTCAATATGGAGACTGGAAGGCCAATCGGAGGTTAGCACAGTCGAAAAGGAGAAAGAAAAGCAAGCGGCAAAGTGCCCTCCAGGTACGCGACCGCGAATTGACCGCGCATAGGCCGTGCAATGAAGGCAGAACACTGGTGAAATCCGCGGCCAGATCCACAGTCGTAGACGGGATGACGGAGACCAATAACCTAGGGTCAATCATGTAATTTCTAAGTCAACTAACCTAAACTTATATGAAGCCGAATTCATCCAGAAGAGAAATATAGCTATTTTTAGAGAGATTTTAGAGGCAAGAACACTAGAGGAAATCAGAGAATTTCCCTAAGAGTTTTCATCTTCTTCTTCCACTTAATTCCATTGTTGATTATGACTTTCTATAGTAAATTTTTATCTATTAGTATGAGTAGCTAAACCCGTCATAAAGAGTTGATGGAACCAATTGTTGGATGAAGTTTTGACTCTGTTTTGATGTAATTGAGCCATTTTTACTCTATGATTGTTCAACTACGTATTGTCTTATGATTAATTGAAAGGGCCCTTAATTAATCGTGTCTAGTTGTCTTGTGCTGCTTGAGAAAGAACACTTGATTAGATTATTATTGAACAACACCACCTTCGGGTAAGTTAAGAGATTAATTACTTGAATTTAAAAGTGGAGTTAGAGATAACGAAACTTTGGTAGGATAATTCTGAGTTGCATAAATTATTAACTAGAGTAGTTCGAGAGAATGCTTCTAGTAAATTATCGTAGTTGATCGAGAGATAATTGTGGAGCCCATAACTCATACTCCTTATAGAGTGTTACGACGAGATTATAGCTAACGTGTTAGGAAGTAATCCGACAATTGGGGAAATCAATAGCCTTAGACCCTTTTACTATTGAATTCAACTTTATTCTCGATTATTGCTAGTTATATATATTGTCATTTTCCTTAGTTAACTATATTATACTCATTATCCATTAAAAATCTTGCATCGGGAATTGTCTGACTTTATCATTAGCATTGTTAAAAGTTGTAGTAAATAGGTTAGTTCCTTGTGGGATTCGACTCCGGACTTAAACTAGATTATATTTGCAGCGACCGCTTAGTCCTTTTTACATGGCATAGTTGGGCGTGATCAAATTTTGGCGCCTTTGCCGGGGAATTAATGGTGTTATTTATTACAACTTAGAAGATTTGCTAGGATTTTTAGTTTAGATCAATTTTCTATGGTGTTAAAACTTTTCTATTAAAATTCTCACGTTTGAACTCTTTGTGACTCATGTGCATGCCTAGAAGCTCCTTGAGGATTGGTGAACATTTTGAAGGACTCTCAAATCCCGAGAAAGCATTCAGGGCATTGAATCGGGCTAACAAGAAGGACAAACAGTTAAAACAAAGACCAAATCGAAATTGAAATGGACAACTTGGACACCGTCAACGGAAACATTCAAAATGATCGTGTTGACCCAAACAACGGTATGGTGGCACCTCTTGTGCCAGAAGCTGCTCTTTATGATTGGTCACAACCAACTGCTGATAATCTGGCCATCGCCATTGTTGTTCCTCAGATACAAGGGGAGACATTCTAGATGACCAACAATATGCTGCACCTGTTGCAGAATAAAGGGTTGTTCTCCGGGTCGTACATCGAAGACCCACAACAACATCTGAAGAACTTCCTATCGATTCGTGTCACTCAAAGGCAGTTGAATGTCACTCCTGAAGCAATTAAGCTATTATTGTTCCCATTCTCAGTGACTGGGGAGGCTCAAACTTGGCTGAATTCGCTCCCAATAAACTCCATTGCTACTTGGGAAGAAGTAGTCAAGCAGTTCTTAAACAAGTTCTATCCTCCCAACAAAACTGCGAGGCAAATTGATGAGATATTGCAGTTCAGGCAGAAACCGACTAAAACCCTACAAGAAACTTGGGAGAGGTTTAGGGGTATGCTAGTTAAGTGTCCACATCATGACATTCCTGATCAGATGCTGGGACAGAGATTCTACATGGGTTTGGTAGACAGTCTGAAGGCCAATGCAGACATTTCAGTTGGGGATGCATTCTTGAGCAAAACGTTCACATAGTGTAAAATTCTTCTCGACAAGATGGCTCAAAATTTAGGCTGGATGACGAGAGGTATAACACTCATACCAATAGTGCATTCTATTGCTCTTGACCCAAACAATTCCAATGAAAAAAACATAGCCACTCGCATGACCCAAATGAGCTTACTAACAAAGAAAATTGATGAGATGAGTACAAAGCAAGTGCACATTGTTGATACCACAAATGGAGGCTTATGCACTCCTTGCATAAACCACTCATATGTGTGCTCGTGGAGTGGGGAGAATGATAACCAGGGCTTCAGAGAAGACATGAATTATGTCAATAATTTCGGAGGTCAAAGGCAAGTTGGCAGCAATGGGGACCAACATCAAACCAACAGTATAGACCAAACCAACCACAACACAACCAAATCCAGGAGGAGCACGACCATAAGGCCAAGTCATGCCTTATCAAAGGCAGCAGGGCTATAATCAGCAGCATCATCAACAATTGGCCTACCAACTACCTCATCTACAATATGACAGTAACATGATCAAAATTAGGGGCATGCTGCAACAACTTATTGGGACAAATGGAAAGATGCAAGAGAAGTTAGTTACACATGATTTAGAAATCAAAAGCATTGAAACTCAATTGGGACAACTATCTATGGCCTTGAAAAATCGCCCACAAGGAACATTACCTGTAGATACAAAAATTAATCCAAAGGAGCAAAACCCAAATTAGCTAATGGCAGTGAGTCTCAGGAATGGAAGAGATTTAGACAGGGAGCAAGAAGTTGCTCAATCTAGGAGAGAGACAACGCCAACTACTCCGGTTACATTAGAGACAAACGATTCAACAGAGCTCACCGAGGTTGTAATTTAACAGGCACAGGTTGAGAAGGGTAAGGAGAAGGAAAGTGAACAACTCCCAGAACAGGTGGTAGAAAAAGCTTCTAGCAAAGAAAAGACACAAAGCAGTAGGTAAAGGTTGACTCCTACACCATTCCTTCAAAGGTTGGCAAAGCAAAAGAAAGATGATCAATATAGGAAATTTATGGAAATGCTCTAACAAATTCAGATAAATATTCCACTGATGGATGTTTTGAGGGAAATGCCAGGGTATGCAAAAATGATGAAGGACCTGATGTCGCAAAAATTTGACTGCCAGGACCTATCCACTATAACTCTGACACAGAGCTGCAGTGCGGTAGTGACAAGGCCTATGGCTCAAAAGGTGTCTGATCTAGGTAGTTTCACTATCCCATGCACCATTGGGAGTTATGCTTTTGCTAAAGCATTGTGTGAATTGGGAGCCAGTATAAAATTGATGCCCTTGTCAATCTATACATAACTGGGCATTGGCAGAGCTAGACCGACCTTAATGTTGCTGCAACCAGTTGATCGCACAGTCAAGAGACCAACAAGAATTCTTGATGATGTGCTTGTTCAAGTGGGGAAGTTTGTATTCCCTACAGACTTGGTCATTCTTGACTGTCAAGTAGATGAAGAGATACCAATCATTCTGGGAAGGCCGTTTTTAGCCACTAGGATAGCATTGATTGATTGTGAGACTGGAGAATTAAAAATGAGGTTGAACAATGAAGAAATAATATTCAACGTTCAACAATCTATGAGGAGACCCAACGAATTTGCAAATTGGTCACTAGTGGAGGTCGTGGATGTAATACTACAAGAAGAGGATGAGACCCTTAATGTCAAGGACCCGCTAGAAGCCTGTTTGATGAACTTGGAAGAGATGGATGGTGAGGGGTTGGCGGAGTGGGTCATGGCCCTCGAGGGTCAAGGGTTCTAGAAAAGGGAACTCCAGTTCGAACCCCTAAGCTTAGAAGAGATAGAAACACCTCCTGTAAAACCATCGATAGAGGAGCCACCACAGTTAGACCTGAAACCGCTTCCAGATCACCTCAGATACGCTTTCTTAGGGCCTAATTCTACTTTAACTGTTATTATATCATCTGGTTTGCTAGCTGTGCAGGGAGAGAAACTCTTACAGGTGTTAAAAGAATGTAAGACTGTCATTGGTTGGACCATGGAAGATATAAAAGGGTATCAGCCCAGCCTTTTACATGCACAAGATTCTCTTGGAAGAGGGGTACAAACCTTCCAGAGAACATTAATGACGGCTGAACCCGAATATGAAAGAGGTGGTGAAGAAGGAAGTGATCAAGTGGCTAGATGCAGGTATCATCTTCCCTATCTCTGATAGCAACTGGGTTAGCCCTGTTTAGTGTGTGCCGAAAAAGGGAGGAATGACTGTCGTACAAAATGAGAATAACGAGTTGATCTCGACTCGTACAATCATGAGGGGGGGGGGGGGGGATTTGCATGGATTATCAGAAATTGAACACATCCACCCGGAAGGACCATTTTCCCTTGCCATTCATCGACCAAATATTGGACAGGTTGGCTGGGAAGTCTCACTTCTATTTTTTGGATGGATATTTGGGGTACAATCAGATTTCCATAGCCCCTGAAGATAGAGAGAAAACATCATTCACCTGTCTGTATGACATCTTTTCCTTTCAGAGAATGCCATTTGGACTTTACAATGCACCGGCTACATTCCAACGGTGTATGTTAGCCATTTTCACGGATATGGTTGAAGACATTATGGATGATTTCTCCGTGGTGGGGGATTCATTCGAAGATTGTCTTCACAATTTAAGAAGAGTGCTCAAAAGATATGTGGAGACAAATTTAGTGCTGAATTGTGAAAAGTGCCATTTTATGGTACAATAAGGGATAGTCTTGGGGCATCGAGTGGCCAGTAAAGTAATTGAGGTCGACCATGCTAAGGTTGATGTGATTGAGAAGTTGCCACCGCCCACTTCTGTCAAGGAAGTGAGAAGTTTCCTTAGGCATGCCGGGTTCTACAGGTGATTCATAAAAGATTTCTCCAAGATTGCTAACCCTCTATGTAAACTCCTTGAAAAGGATGAGCCCTTTGTGTTTTCTAATGATTGCAGGTTGGAATTTGAGGAGCTGAAGAAGAGACTGGTAATTGCACCCATCATTGTTGCACCCAACTGAGAGAATCGTTCGAGCTCATGTGA